TGTTCTCACTCATAGGTGGGAACTGAACAATGAGAACACTTGGACACAGGAAGGGTGACATCACACCCCGGGGCCTCTTGTGGGGTGGGGAGAGGGGGGAGGGATAGCATTTGGAGATATACCTAATGTAAATGACGAGTTAATGGGTGCAGCACACCAACATGGCATGTGAATACACATGTAACAAACCTGCATGTTGTGCACATGTACCCTAGAACTTAAAGTATGAAAAAAGAAAAAAACTACAGAAGCAAACAGACCTGGAGCTGTCACCACTGATTAAAGAAGAGAAAACTGCAGCAGAGCAATTAAAATCTCACATGCCAGATTTATGAAGAAATGGACTTGGAAAGGAGACTGTAACAGAGAAGGGCTTAATTCCAGAGAAATTTAGGAAGATGTCTTGTTAACACTTGATGTCTAGAGATTGGGGGCTGGTGAAAGAGGTTTGGCTTCAATGACTGGATAATAATGCCTTTCATGAGAGAGACTATAAGAAGGAGGGCAGATAATATATGAATAAAGTTCAGCCAAAAGGATCAAATGAGAATAAAGGGATTTAATTATATGTACACACACATACACACATACACTTAGTCTTGTAATTTCAGGCAAGAAAGTCTCCTAACACTATTTTGCATCTGTTTTCTTTTTCTAAGTCATGATAATGTAGATGTTCTGGTCCATCATAAAAGAATGTTTATGTACATTTCAGTCATTCGATATGTGACTTTGGAAATTAAACTATAGGCAAAATATTTATATTATACATTACATATAATTTCGTTTTGTAAATGTTGATTGCACATGCGGTCAAATTATTGTTAAGACTGCTTTTATGTGACCTGTAGTCTCCCACAAAACCTAAAGTAATAAGCTGGCTTTTCTGTGATAGCCACTTTTTTTTTTCTTTTTTTTTTTTTTTTTGAGATGGAGTCTTACTTTGTCGCCCAGGCTGGAGTGCAGTGGCGCAATCTCAGCTCACTGCAAGCTCTGCCTCCAGAGTTCACACCGTTCTCCTGCCTCAGCCCCCTGAGTAGCTAGGAGTACAGGCACCCGCCACCACACCTGAATAATTTTTTGTGTTTTTTGTAGAGACAGGGTTTCACCGTGTTAGCCAGGATGGTCTCGATCTCCTGACCTTGTGATCTGCCCGCCTCAGCCTCCCAAAGTGCTGGGATTACAGGCGTGAGCCACCGCGCCCGGCCTGTGATAGCCACTTTTGTGTATTTTTTTCCCTATTTCCCTTGCCTTGCTAATGTTGAGCAGCATGAACTTGCTTTCTAATACTGTTTTAGGCTGTCCCTGGTGTATTTCAATAATACCTTTGTTTTCCCTCAGCCTGTATTACTGTAATTGTTCATTCTACATGAAAGCTAAGAAACTGAAATTAGAAGAGCACTTATCTGCTACTTGCCAGTTTTGTGCAAGTGTGTTGTGTGTATGTGTCAATTTCCCTTTAAAATAACTATTGGCAATAAGGAAACTGTTCAGAGTAGAGGCAGATCTTGATACAAAGATGTTAATCACAGGGTTGTTAAAAAAAAAAAAAAAGAATATTCCACCAAGGTAAACTAGTTTCTTTATACTCCTCATAAATGTAGGATGCAGATTAAGAGGCTAACAAGACATAAGAACTGGCCGGGTGCGATGGATTACACCTGTAATCCCAGCACTATGGGAGCCCAAGGTGGGCAGATCACCTGAGGTCAGGAGTGCAAGACAAGCCTGGCCAACAAGGTGAAACCCCGTCTCTACAAAAAAATACAAAAATTAGCCAGGCGTGGTGGGCGTCTGTAATCCCAGCTACTACTGAGGCTGAGGCAGGAGAATTGCTTGAACCTGGGAGGCGGAGGTTGCAGTGAGCCAAGATTGTGCCACTGGACTCTAGCCTAAGCAACAGAGCAAGACTTCATCTCAAAAAAAAAAAAAAATGCCTCACAACTAAGTATAGTACCTAACTCTGGATTGGATTCTGTACTAGATGGGGAAAATGCTCAAAAAGATATTATTAGATGAACTGGCAAAATTAGAATAGGGACCATGGTATATTAGCTAAATATACTGTATCAATGTAAACTTTTGAAGATAACTCTTCTGTGGTTATATAACAGAATATCCCTATTCTTAGAGAATACACACTGAAGTATTTAGGGGTAAGGGGCTATGATATATGTAACTTACCCTCAAGTGGTTTATACATATACACACACAATCATACATCACACACATATATAGATTCATACATAAATAATATATTTTATTATATATAAATATGTTATATATGTTCTATGTTATCTTATATGTTTTTTTTGTTTTTTTTGTTTTTTTTATTTTTTTTTTGAGACAGAGTCTCTCTCTGTCGCCCAGGCTGGAGTGCAGTGGCCGGATCTCAGCTCACTGCAAGCTCCGCCTCCCGGGTTTACGCCATTCTCCTGCCTCAGCCTCCCGAGCAGCTGGGACTACAGGCGCCCACCACCTCGCCCGGCTAGTTTTTTGTATTTTTTTTAGTAGAGACGGGGTTTCACCGTGTTAGCCAGGATGGTCTCGATCTCCCGACCTCGTGATCCGCCCGTCTCGGCCTCCCAAAGTGCTGGGGTTACAGGCTTGAGCCACCGCGCCCAGCCTATCTTATATGTTATATATTATTTATATATTATATAACACATAGGTATATTATTACATATGATATATGATATATATTACATATGATTAATTATATATTATATTATGTAAATAAATATAATTATATGTGTGTGTATATAAATATATATATATAGAGAGAGAGAACTCCTGCCCAAGTAATAAAACAATTCAAATATACAGAGTGGACAGGGCTATGTTTTTTCGTGAATAAAACTGAGACACATATCCCAGAAAGCCCAGACGGAGTCTTGCTCTGTCACCCAGGCTGGAGTGTGGTGGCGCAATCTCAGCTCACGGCAACCTCTGCCTCTCGGGTTCAAGCAATTCTGCTGCCTCAGCCTCCCAAGTAGCTGGGACTACAGTCGAGCACCACCACACCCAGCTAATTTTTCTACTTTTAGTTGAGACGGGGTTTCACCATGTTGGCCAGAATGGTCTTGATCTCTTGACCTCATGATCCACCCACCTCGGCCTCCCAAAGCGCTAGGATTACAGGTGTGAACCACTATACTTGGCCTTTGCACTGGTTTTCTTGCTGCTCCTGTTTTGCTCTCCCCTTCCCCATCCCTCACTCTTGCCCCTGGGAGTACTTGTCCCAAACAAGCTACAAGCTCAACAGCATTTATTTGAGGCCTGCTTGCAGGGGAGCCCAAACCAAAGCAGATGTTCCAGGCTGAATTGTGCTCCTCCAGATTCATATGTTGAAGTCCTAACCCCAGGTCCTCAGAATGTGTCTGTATTTGGAGATAGGGTACTATGGTCTCAATGTTTGCATCCCACCAAAATTCAGGTGGGAACCTAATCTCCAATGTGATGGTATTATGAAGTGGTAGCTTTGGGGAGGTGAGAGGCTCTGCCCTTACTGATAAGATTAATGTCTGTATCAGTCCATTCTCGAATTTCTGTAAATAAACACCTGAGACCAGGTAATTTATAAAGAAAAGAGGTTTGATTGGCTCACAGGTCTGCAGGCTGTACAGGAAGCATGCTGGCATCTGCTCAGCTTCTGGGGAGACCTCAGGAAGCTTCCAATCATGACAGAAGGTGAAGGGGGAACAGATGTCTCACATGGCCAGAGCGGGAGCAAGAGAGAGTTGACAGGGAGGTGCTACACACTTTTAAACAAACAGATCCCACGAGAACCCACTCATTATCAGGAAGACAGCACCAAGCCATGAGGGATCCACCACTAACCAAACACCTCCCACTAGGCCCCATGTCCAACTATGGGGAGGCTGAGGCAGGAGAATGGGTTGAACCCGGGAGGTGGAAGTTACGGTGAACCAAGATTGCACCATTGCACTCCAGCCTGTGCAACAGAAACAGACTCTGTCCCAAAAAAGAAAAAAAGAAAAAAGAAAGAAACGATGGAGCACCTATTACCCTTCTTGTACTGGTTCCTGGGGAGCTCAGAGCCTATCTTTTGCAAGTGTCCTGATCCTCTTGCAGGCCTTTCATGTATATTTCCTTCCTGGCTTCCTCTTATTTTTATCACACTTCTGAACCTGCTGTCAGGTGAAAAATCAAGGTGGGCCCAAAATATAAGAGCTCATGAATTTGATGGTGTTGGAGTGTCCTGGACAGTCCAGCTCTCAGGGTTGGGGAGTTGGACAGAGAGGAAGGAGAGCATTCCAGGGGCCAGGGCCAGAAGCAGAGAGACTCCAGGCCAAAGTAGGATTTCCAGGCTGAAGAAAGAGAGGCCATGGGTGGATAGAGGGTCCAGACCAGGACAGGGACAGAGGGCATATCTGAAGGCTCAGCCAGAAATAGCTCCCTCCAGAAAGTAGACAGTGAGTCTGGGGCTGAGCTGCAAGAAGGAAGGGGAGGTGGGAGAGAATGGAGGGACTGGTGTTCAGTGAGCGGACTCCTCCTTTCCTGGCCTATTTCCCCAGGGGACATGCCTGGGGGACTGTGATCCTCTCCTCCAGGCTGCTTTCCCACTGGTGCCAGGATTCCCCCAACGCCACACTAAGAACCCAGGAGAAGCATCAAATTGTATGAGAGATAAGAAATGAAGAGCCGGGGGCGGTGGCTCAAGCCTGTAATCCCAGCACTTTGGGAGGCCGAGGCGGGTGGATCACGAGGTCAGGATATCGAGACCATCCTGGCTAACACGGTGAAACCCGGTCTCTACTAAAAAATACAAAAAACTAGCCGGGCGAGGTGGTGGGCGCCTGTAGTCCCAGCTACTCGGGAGGCTGAGGCAGGAGAATGGCGTGAATCCGGGAGGCGGAGCTTGCAGTGAGCTGAGATCCGGCCACTGCACTCCAGCCTGGGTGACAGAGCGAGACTCCGTCTCAAAAAAAAAAAAAAAAAAAAAAAAAAAGAAGAGAGGGAGCAGGATTTCTGGTTGACGAAGGATATTTATTGAGAGTTTACTGGGTATAGGGAGAAGGGCTGGATGGCTTGGGATGCAGAGACCCCTCCCCTGGGATCCTGCAGCTCCAGGCCCCTGGGGATGGGGTGAGTGTTGGGAACCTACGAACATTCTGCAGGGGCCACTGTCTTCTCCACGATGCTCCCTTCATGCATGACCTGGCAGCTGTAGCTGTTGCGGGACCTCCACTGCTCAGGCGTCAGGCTCAGGTAGCTGCTGGCCGCGTACTTGTTTTTCTCTGTTTGGAGGGCGTGGTCACTCCATGCTCTGGGTGATGGGGGTACCATCTGCCTTCCAGGTCACCGTCAAGATTCCCGGATAGAAGTCACTCATGAGACACACCAGCGTGGCCTTGTTGGCTTGGAGCTTCTCAGAGGACAACAGGAACAGAGTGACTGAGGGGGTGGCCTTGGGCTGACCTGTGTGGACAGAGGAGGGGTGAGAGATGGCAGAGGGAGAGTGGGGTGTTGTGGAGCGCCTCTCTCTGTCGAAAGTCTCTGGGAGGGTTCATGGTGTGGCCGTCTGGTCCACCCAGGGCCTCTCCCTCCCTCTTCATTCCCTCCTTTCCACTGGAGCCCTCTGGAGAGCAGACAGCCCCGTGCCTTCCTAGGGGCCTTCCCAAGTCACTTTTCCCAGGCGTCCTGGCCCAGTCATTTCCTCTGCAGCCTCGGTTTCCCCGTGCGTACCCAGGGCAGGCTGTGCTCCCTCCTTCCTGGTTTTTTCTGGAGTCTGAGCACAGAAAACCATCCTGGCAGGGTGTGGGGAGGCCCAAGCCTGGCATGGCCTGGAGCTTCCCATCCCCTGGGACACCAGGCTGTGCCCCAACCTGGCCCACTCAGCTCTCCTGGTGAAGCAGGGGCTCCACCCAGACAAACCCTGGGGCTCTGCTGTCGCCCCTGTCCCTACCAGTCCGACCACAGGACCCTTCACATCGGCTGGGTTCTTGGGGCTGCTCCCCCAGACTTCAGGTCACCACAGCCCCCATGCCCACCCCAGCAGCCTCTGATGCCCCTGGACTTCACCTGGCGGCCGTGGAGTTCTCTGCACCCCCGTTTACTCCCCGCTAGTCATCTCCTGAGTCTAAAGTGCCCTCCTCAAATGAAGGCGGGAGGCCGACCCGTGAACAGAGAGACACTGGGCCCCAAAGGCGACAGGGCTCCAGGGACAGACATCTCTGCCCTAAGAGACCCTCTCCTTTCTGGTAACTGTCCTGGGAGGGCTGGGCTCTCAGGCTTCCCCCAGTCTCACCCATCCCTCTGTGTCCCCATGTCCTCACAACCCAGCACAGTCCACAGAGCTACAGCCTGGACCCAGAACCCTCTCTGTGCCCTCCATTGGTCTCCCCTCAAGGTGACCCCTGTGTCCCCAGGCCCCCGTGTGGCCCTCCCAGTCTGGATGGGCATGCAGTCCTCAGCCTAGACCCTGGGGTCCCGGGGACTGTCTCTAAGGCCACTGCAGGGCCCCTCATCAGAACTGGCCTCTGTCCCTCACTGAGACATCTGCCCTGGGAGAAGGGAGGAGCCCTGACCCTGCCCAATCCCAGCCCAGGCCCCAGGACCAGGCTGTGTCCCGCTGTTGGAACCTGAAGGTGGCTGCTCCCACTGTGGGGGCCCTTCCTGCCGGTTACCCTGAGACTAACGCACCTCGTCTAGGCCCCATGGATAAAGACAGGGGTCAGTGCTTAAGGCTGGGAGGGCAGAGGGGAAGAAGCCCCAGAGAGAGAAAACAGATTTCCAAAGATAGGAGAGGGTGGGACAGGCTGGGAAAGGTTGTGAGAGCCACTTACCTAAAACAGTGAGCTGGGTCCTGCTGCCAAAAACATGCCTCAGTGTATTATGCTTAGATTGAAACTCCCGGGGCCAGCACCTGGGGCCAGTCCAGGAGCCGTGCTGGAGCAGGAACCTGCTGGGTGTGAGGGGCACAGGGCTGCAGTGTGTAGGCTGTGACCTAGGCACAGGGCAGGGGGGTGGCCAGTATCCCAGTAGTGTCTCTGTGCCTGTCCCTTCTCTGAGGCAGGTGCTGCCCACAGCCTTGGAGCCACCCCAGCCTGTGTCCCAGTCTCTGAAGCTGTTGGTGCTGATGGCAACGCTGGCCCAGTGGGTCCCAGCAACTCCCTGAGTGACACATCCCCTCAGGCAGCTGTGCGGTGTGGCTCAGGAGTCCTGAGCTGGCTCAGACCTGCCCAACCTCACTTGGCCTCTTTTCAAGGGCCTCTGAAGTCCGCCACAAGTGTCGCCAGTCAAGCCAGGCTGACTTCCTCCCTGGACCAGGACACTGGGTCATTCCTGACTCAAGAGGAGAGTCCTCTGCTTTTATATCTATCCATGGAGATGCAGCTCAGTCTCACTTTGTTCATGGAGCCTTTTCTGACCTCTCAGATCACTCATTCCATCTGTCCATCCATCCATCTGTCCATCCATCCATCTGTCCATCCATCTATGCATCTATGCATCTATTCATCTGTCTTTGCATCCATCTATCATCTGCCCATTCATCCATCCATTTACATGTATGTCCGTCCATAGATCCATCCTGTCTACCATGCACTGTGTTGTGTGCTACGGACATGGTGTGGTCCCCCAGGCTCTCACCCCCATCTCTCCCAGGTCATGGCCAACAAGGCCCTCCTCACGGTCATGTCCAAGGTCCTTCTGCTGTACCTGGTGTCTCTGCTGGATGTGACATGGGACTGGCCCCTCTTTCCAGTGACTCTTTTCCCCTTGGGGTCTGACTCCCCTTTCCTCTTCCCCTGGCATCTGTTTCTCCATGGCCCGTGCCTGGCTGCTGACTCCCCAGACCCCCACTCAGACCCCTTTCTTAGCCATCTTCACACTCTGTGACCCCCACTATTGCCCAGATGGCGAGGCTGGAGCCTATCCCAGCTTCAAATCTCCTCAGCTCCACCTCAATTGCCTACTGACCATGTCCAGTGAGCTACCCAACAGGACTCTCAAATTAATCACTTCCAGAGGATATGACCACCTTCCCCCAGCACAGCTCATTTTCCATCTTCATCTCATCACAATGACCATGGGCTGTCTCAGCCCCTCAGCCAGAAACCTGGAGTCCCTGGGCTCAGTCACCTCACCTCCCACACTGAAATGGCTTTTGCGTACTTAGCTACTGCATCTAGACATTCTTTCTTCTTGAGACAGAGTCTCACTGTGTTGCCCAGGCTGGAGTGCAGTGGTATGATCTTGGCTCACTGCAACCTCCACCTCCTGAGTTCCTGGGTTCAAACGATTCTCATGCCTCAGCCTCCCAAGTAGCTGGGACTACAGGCATGCACCACCACACCCAGCTAACTTTTCTTTTTTTTTTTGTTTTTGAGACGGAGTCTTGCTCTGTCATCCAGGCAGGAGTGCAGTGGCATGATATCGGCTCACTACATGCTCTGCATCCGAGATTCATGCCATTCTCCTGCCTCAGCCTCCCCAGCAGCTAGGGCTACAGGTGCACTCTGCCACGCCCGGCTAATTTTTTTTTTTTGTATTTTTAGTAGAGACAGGGTTTCACCATATTAGCCAGGATGGTCTCAATCTCCTGACCTCATGAACCGCCCGCCTCGGCCTCCCAAAATGCTGGGATTACAGGAGTGAGCCACCGTGCCTGGCCACACCCAGCTAACTTTTCTGTTTTATAGAGACAGGGTTTCACCATGTTGGCCAGGTTGGTCTCGAACTCCTGATCTCAAGTGATCCACCCTCCTTGGCCTCCCAAAGTGCTGGAATTATAGGTGTGAGCCACCACACCTGCCCCCCAAAAATCTTTACTCTTTTAAAATTATGAGAATATAACATGTAAGGTAATTAAGCAATAGAGAAGTGCATTTAAGAAGTGTAATATGGGGCCAGGCACAGTGGCTTACGCCTGTAATCCTAGAACTTTGGGAGGCCAAGGCGAGCAGATTGCCTGAGCTCAGGAGTTCCAGACCAGCCTGGGCAACATGGTGAGACCCCATCTCTACTAAAATACCAAACAATAACAACAAAAAAATTAGCTGGGCATGAGTGTGCGCCTATAGTCCCAGCTACTTAGGAGGCTGAGGCAGGAGAATTGCTTGAACCCAGGAGGCAGAGGTTGCAGTGAGCCCACCTCAGCCTCTCAAAGTGCTAGGATTACAGGCATGAGCCACCACACCTGGCTTCTTTTTTCCTTTTTCTTTTTTTTTTATAATTGCAGTAAAACATACATAGCATTAATATTTCCACTTTAACCATATTTAAACATACAGCTCTGTGGCACTAAGTACATTCACACTGTTGGGCAACCTTCACCACCATCCATCTCCAGAACTCATTCATCTTCCCAAACAGAAACTCTAAACCCATTAACTACAGTCCCCCATTCTTCCTTCCCCCTCACCCCATTAACTCAAATCTACTTTTTGTCCAAGTGAATTCGCCTATTCTAGGGACCTCATAAAAGTGAATTCAAATGACATTTGTCTTTTTGTGTCTGGTTTATTTCACTACGTATGTCTTCAAGTTTCATCCATGTTGTAGAAGACTTCCGAAATTAATTTAAAAATAATTAATATTTAAAACCTATTAAGACCTATTAAAAGTAATACAGGCCAGGCATGGTGACTCATGTCTGTAATCCCAGCACTTTGGGAGGCCGAGGCAGGTGGATGGCTTGAGCCGAGGGGTTTCAGACCTGCCCAGGCAACATGGTGAAACCTCATCTCTACAAAAAATTATCCCAGTTTGGTAGTGCATGCTTGTAGTCCCAGCTACTTGCGACACTGAGGCAGGGATATTGCTTGAGCCCAGGAGTTGGAGGCCAGCCTGGGCAACATAGTGAGACCCCCATCTCTAAAAAAGTAAAAAAAACAAATAAATTTACAACTAAATATAAAAAGTGATACACAATCTATTTCTTAAAAACAATGAAAATATCTTTTAATAAGGTATGAATAGAAGAGATATTTACTTGATAGGAGATATTTACCAGAGTTCGACAGTAATAATCAGTTTTTCTCTTTTTTCATTTTTTTTCTTTTCTTTTTTTTTTTAAGACAGGGTCTCCCTCTGTCACAGGCTGGAGTGCAGTGGTGGGATCTCAGCTTACTGCATCCTCAACCTCCCAGGCTTCAGCAATCCTCTCACCTCAGCCTCCTAAGTAGCTGGGACCACAGGCAAGTGCCACCATGACTGGCTAGTTTTTATATTTTTTGTAGAAATGGGGTCTTGCTGTGTTGCTCAGGCTGATCTCAAACTCCTGGGCTCAAACAATCCTGCCTCAGCCTCCCAAAGTTGTGGGATTACAGGCATGAGCCACTACACCTGGCCCATAGTATTTCTATAAGATTTGTAAAGATTATAAAAACTCATATTCATATTCCCCCAGCAAAATACCTTTTTTTTTTTTGAGAGGGAGTCTCATTCTGTCATCCAGGCTGGAGTGCAGGGGTGCAATCTCAGCTCACTGCAACCTCCACCTCCCGGATTCAAGCGATTCTCCTGCCTCAGCCTCCCGAGTAGCTGGGACTGCAGGCTCGTGCCACCACGCCCAGCTAATTTTTGTATTTTTAGTAGAGACGGAGTTTTGCCATGCTGGCCAGGCTGGTCTCGATCTCCTGACCTCGGGATCTGCCTGCGTTGGCATCCCAAAGTGCTGGGATTACAGGCATGAGACATAGCACCCGGCCCATAGTATTTCTATAAGATTTCTAAAGATTATAATGTAAAAACTTATATTAATATCCCCCCCAACATAATACCAATGTTATTATCTGTGTCTCCCTCCACCTGTCACCTGTCCCTTGTGGAGACCCCTCCGGCCTTCCCCATCCCAGTCTCTGTTCTGCAGGCATCACCCTGCCTGTGGCTGTCTCCTCACCCAGCCCCCGCTCCTTGTAGACTTGAATTGGGGTAAATCTAGATCCTCTGGGACCTCAGCCCCAGCACAGAGCCTGACCCTGATGGGGACTCCTTGCCCAGAAGTCCATGCAGGACACTGAGACCTGGTCCTGGCCCGCCACCATGCTGATCCCGCCTCCATGGCCAGGCTCCTGGTGTGGGTCAGGTTGGCTGCCGCTGCTGGAGGTCTCACCACAGCCACCCCAGCATCCTCTGGGTGGGTGGGAGGTTGAAGGCCCTCACTGATCAGGGCCCCTCAGATTGCAAAAGGGGAAACTCAGGCCCAGCGCGGTGGCTCACGCCTGTAATCCCAGCACTTTGGGAGGCCAAGGCAGGCAGATCACCTGAGGTTAGGAGTTCGAGACCAGCCTGGCCAACATGGTGAAACCCCATCTCTACTAAAAAAATACACAAAATTAGCCGGGTGTGGTGGTGCGCACCTGTAATCCCAGCTACTCCAGAGGCTGAGGCAGGAGAATCTCTTGAACCTGGGAGGTAGAGTTTGCAGTGAGCCGAGATCGCGCCATTGCACTCCAGACTGGGCAACAAGATGAAACTCCGTGAAACTTTGTTTGAAGAAGAAGATAAAAAGGGGGGAAACTCAGGCCCCAGAGGTGCATGTGTCAGCTCCATCAGCTTAGAGGATGGGCAGGGGAGAGCTAGAGGCTGTCCAGCTTGGGCCTTAGAATCTGTGCCCATGAGCTGAGTGACTTGGACGGGTTGCCTCACCTCTCTGGGCTCTATCCCCATCTGCACAAAGGGGATCACAGCAGGACCTGCCTATGGGGCCAGCGAGAGGGAGGTTCTGCCCCTGAAATGATGATCGCCTGTGGGTATAACGTGATCGCCTGTGGGTACAACATGATCGCCTGTGGGTATAACGTGATCGCCTGTGGGTACGTGATCGCCTGTGGGTACAATGTGATCGCCTGTGGGTACAACGTGCACCAGCGATGACCAGGCTGTTGTGTCCCAAATAGTCATAAATGGACCCAGATGCTTGGTGCTTTGTCTGGGGACCTCCCACCACACGCAGAGTGGTGGCAAGGGCTGAGGTCACATAGGGAGTTGTGGCCTCCCTAGACCCTCTCCTGGGCTTCTTCTTTGGAGGCACCTGCACCCTGGATAAGCTTGGGTCTCCTAGGGGCTGGTTTCAGGAGGCGATGCTGGCTGAGGTCTAGTGATCCAGGGACTCCAGGAAAGGCCCCTCACACATCAGCTGGAGCTCCAGGGAGTGGCCCCTGCCCAGTGAGGGTGGGAGTGGACAGGCGACATAGGCCAGGGGAAAGGGGGAGGAGGAGGAGGAGGAGGGAGAAGAGGAGAAGGAGGAGGGGGAGGAGGGGGAGGCCTGGGCACCCTTCAGGGATAGTGGCCACCACCCCTGTGGACGTCCTGCCCCTGCCTCCAGTCCTGCCCTACCCCAAGGACTAGGGGGAGGTAAGGGAGACATTGGCCTTCGTGCCAAATGTAAGGGGTGGGGGCAAAAATCTCAGGAATCAAGATAAATAATATTTTAATATGACATTAAGCAATAAAAATTAATTTAAACAAATCCATGATGGAAAAATATTAACACTTCAGTTAAAGTCAGTGTGTGTCTGGCTCCCCTCCAGGGATTAACCTTCCTCCTCCCACCTCTGGCTTGTCTCCCCTTGGTCATCCTTTCCCGCCTCTGCCGCCAGACCCCCACATCCCCAGGAATCTCTCACCCCTTACCTGCCCCACCGGCTCCTCAGGCTGGACCGGCTGCTTCCTCCAGGGGCTCCAGGGCCCAGGGCTCTGCTCTGCGGTGCAGCCGTTGGGTGCACCAGGCCATGGGTTACCAGCGCCAGACCCAGCAGCAGCAGGGGCCAGCGCTGCCTGAGGTTGGGGCCTGGCTCACCAGGGGCCTCATGGCCTGGCTGGCCTGTCCCTGGCCTCATCCGCCCTCAGGGTCGGAGGCCCTTGTGGCCTGACTTGCAGCGTGGGCTCCCTGGAGAGTGGTGCCCCGGTCTCTCGCTGGCAGCAGCTGTCCCAGGGCACCCCAGTCCATGTGGCCCCATCCTCATCCTCTGGTCCCTGCCCCCAGCCAGGCCCCTTCCAGCGTCCATGGCCGTCACCCCTGGGGTTCTGTCCCGGAGGCACATCTGCCAACTGCCCTGCTGTGGTCAGGATCCAGGGCTCAACTGCCTCCCACACCTGTCAGCTTGGCCTTGCCCCTGGGGCCCTGGGTGCTTTGTTTGGGGACCTCCCACCACAGGCAGAGGGTCGGCAAGGGCTGAGGTCACACAGGGAGGTGGGCTGCACCATGGTCCCCCAAGACCCTCCCCTGGGGCTTTCCTTTGGAGGAACCTGCACCCTGGATGGGCTTGAGTCCCCTCGGGGCTGGTCCCAGGAGGTGACGCGCCTGACTTCCCTCCTTCCCCCAGGGCGCCCTGGGTCTGTGGAGCATCTCACTGGGGTCCAGAGAGCCGCCCAGCAGGAGTCCCCCAGGGCTTGAGCTCAGGGGGCTGGGCTGAGGCTCCTCCAACCAGCCCTGGAGGGAGGTGTGGTTAGAGAGGAGGAAACAGGTTTGGGGTTAGCCAGAAGCCACTCAACGGTTCAAGTCCAGGAATCATGAGGTAAGAACGAAAACGCCGTTTAATGTGCCACGTTCAGCGCCTCACAGACCTCACATCACACAGACACACAGACACAGAGACACACACACACAGACACACACACACACTCCCCACCCCAGCTTCCTGAAGGTATAATTGACAAAACTGTATATATTGACCACCTACAATGTGATGCTTTGCCACACTGTAAAATGATTAAATCAAGCTGACTCACACGTCCATCTCCTCACATACTTACGCTTTTGTAGTGAGAACACGGAAGATCTAATCTTAGCAATTTTCCAGTATACATTTATTAACTGTAGTCTCCACGTTGTATGATACATCTCCAGAGCTCATTCTTACGGATTTCACTCAGAGGCCAGTAGCTTCCTCCCGAGCGGTGAGCGCGTCATGTCATGGCTTCTGACAGGCCCCCGGGTCCTCTCCCAGCCCGGCATCCCCGACCCTCTCCCAACATCTCGGGACCCTGTGCTTTTGTGGTGGGGGGAGCAGTGGCAGTGAGGAGGGACTGAGCACCTGTGCTGGGCGGCCAGGGCCAGGCTCTTTTGCTGGTGTTGCCAGAGACGCCTCTGGTCACCCAGGAGTCTCAGGTTCCTCTCCTCCAGAGGTGGGGCTGGAAATGCTGCCGGCTCTGCTCGCTTTTCAGGGCCGGGCTGAGGTTGGTGTTGGGAGATAATGCATGTCAAAGTGTTGTTTTCTTCATTTGTAAAAAAATAGTAACATACACACGACCTAAAATTTATCATCTTGACCTTTTTTTGTTGTTGTTTTTTTTGAGAGTCTTGCTCTGTCACCAGGCTGGAGTGCAGTGTGGAACAATCTCAGCTCACTGAAACCTCTGACTCCCTGGTTCAAGCAATTCTCCTGCCTCAGCCTCCTGAGTAGCTGGAATTACAGGCATGCGCCACTACGCCCAACTAATTTTTGTATTTTTAGTAGAGATGGTTTCACCATGTTGGCTAGGCTGGTCTCGATCTCCTGACCTCATGATCCGCCCGCCTGGGCCTCCCAAAATGCTGGGATCACAGGTGTGAGCCACTGCGCCTGGCCCATCTTGACCATTTTTAAGTGCACAGTTCAGTGGCATTAACTACATTCACAATGTCGTGCAACCATCACCACCATCCATCTCTAGATTTTTTTTTTTTTTGAGAGTCTTCCTCTGTTGCCCAGGCTGGAGTACAGTGGGGCAATCTCAGCTCACGGCAATCTCTTCCTCCCAGGTTCAAGTGATTATCCTGTCTCAGCCTCCTGAGTAGCTGGGATTACAGGTACCCACCACCATGCCAGCTAATTTTTTGTATTTTTAATAGAGACAGGGTTTCAGCATGTTGGTCAGGCTGGTCTCGAACTCCTGACGTCATGATACGCCTGCCTCCCAAAATGCTGGGTTTATAGGCATAAGCCACCGCAACTGTTTTTTTCTGTTTGAGACGAAGTCTCACTCTTTCGCCCAGGCTGGAGTGCAATGGTGCATCTAGATCTTTTCCATCTTGCGAAACTCAAATTCTGTCCCCATTCAACACTAACTTCCCATTTCTCCCTCCCCCAGCCCCTGGCACCCACCATGCTAGTTCCCGTCTCTCTATTTGGCTACCCTGGGTACCTCCTATGGGTGGGACCATACTCTACTTGTCCTTTGAAAGTGCTTTTTAAACTGGAAGTGCTGCATGTATAATACCTTCAGGGGCTTATTAGTATTTTCATTTTTTTTTTTTTTCTGAGATGGAATTTCACTCTGCTGCCCAGGCTGGAGTGCAGTGGCTCTATCTCAGTTCGCTGTGGCCTCTGCCTCCTGGGTTTGAGCAATTCTCCTGCTTCAGCCTCCCAGGTAGCTGGTCTACAGGTGCCCAGCTGGTCTACAGGTGCCCACCATCATGTTACATTTTCGTGTTTCTAATAGAGACGGCATTTCACCATGTCGACCAGGCTGGTCCCGAACTCCTAATCTCAGGCGATCAGCCCACCTCAGCCTCCCAAAGAGCGGGGATTACAGGCGTGGGCCATCGCGCCCGCCCGATTATCATTATTATTATTACTAACTGGCCTGGTTAGTGTGGCTTGGAAAATGTTGTTAACCATCATAAAGTAAATGAATCCTTGATGATACTGAGCTTCAACTGCCACTATTCGAATTTTGCACTGCAACTCATAGAGCGCATGAAATTCATTCCAATGGCTGCAGCTAACCTTTTGTTAAAGTGAGGCCGCCTAGAGCTGACTCCAGCTGGAGAGCGAGCTGTTCCACGGGAGGGATGGTGACGGTTCCCGGAATGTTGCTTCAGTTACCTGAATGCGCAGATATGCTCTGGGTTACAGTGGAAGATCTACTTCTTGCTGGAAGTTTGGATGGAAAATCTTTTGGAAACTGCTGTCCTGGAACATCTGGCCCAGCTGTCAAATCCCCTCTTGCATTTCCCCAGCGGCAGATCCGCTGTCACGTTTTAAGCCACCCTTTGCCTTAGGTCCTCCATATCCCGGTCCCCGCCACTGGGTGTGTCCCTGGGGCAGTGCCATCCAATGGCTTGTCCAGCGCTGTGAGGCTCTCCCCAACTTCCCTCCAGTTGAGTTTCATGGGTGCCACATGCCTGTCCTGGAGCTGGGCCATCTCACACATCCCCTTGGCATCTGCCAGCCATGGTTGTGGGATGCTACAAGAGACAGACAGATGAACAGAAGACTTCATGTTATCTCATGGACATCACGAGAGCCATAGTGAGCTCAGTCTCCATGGACTGATGCTCAGATCCCAGTGTCCCACAAACACTGAGAGTCCCCTAAGCGCCAAAGGCTGCATCCCAGACAGCTCCTGATCCTCGGGGAGACGGGCAAGGTGCTGAGCAGTAATGGGATGTGGACACCCTAAGAAACATTGATGCAGGTACAGGGGAAGCCCCTGGGAGGCCCCAATCCAGTGCAGCTTCTCCCTTGTTGAGAGGCTTGGTCCATTGCTGCCCCTGACCCTGGCTCCTCTCACCTTCAGGGCTGGAGCAGCACCTGCCCTGGGGATCTGGGCTGAAGCTGCTCCCTCCCCAGCAACCCCCCTTGAGTGTGACACTCATCATTGCCTGGAACTCAGAAACTGTGGTTCCCCCAAGGACAGCCCCAGGTCTTGGGAGAGGAAGGAACCGTTTTTAAATATAGTGTCCCCAGCCGCTCCCTTTCAGGCCCTGCCTGACCCTGCACCTGTGATGGCCTCTAAACAGAGGCAGCCTCAGATCACATCTTTCTGTGGTGGGAAATCTGGGTCTGGCTGGATCCTGGGGACGCTATGGGACTGCGCTGGGCCAGGCCTCTCCAGTAGGTGCAGCTGCAGCTCTGACCACCCAGGCTTATCTCACCCCTTCCTGGACTGAGATGTGTCCAGGCCTGGGCAGAGGAGGCTGGGTCCTGCTGTCCTGCTCAGTGCTCTCCCTTTTTAGGGTCCCTGGTGCCTCTGCAGAGCCCTCTGGGTCCCGCCTGGCTCTCCTCCCTCAGAGTACAGGTGAGTGCTCCATCTGGTCACCTCCGCCCTGCTCCCGTGTTCGTAGGTCTCCCCCATTCTGGCCTCCTGCTGGTCAGTCCCCTGCCCACTGTCTATACCCCCGGCCTCAGAGACTCTGCCTGCACCACCAAGGATCCCTGTCTCCCAGGCTGTCTCCAGAGGAAATACAGGACCACTTCCCCAGACCCAGTAAGGTTCTAGAAGCTCTCAGGTTCTCAGGGTCACTGGAAGTGGTCTCTGCTATTTTGGCAGCTTCAAATATCTTCAAGCCAGAAGTCTTGAGGTTTCCTTGGACATGAGGATGATGATGTAGCTACCATTGTTTATGGCCAGGCTGATGTTTAATTTTATGTGTTAACTTGGCAGGGCCACAGTGCCAGATATTTGGTCAAACATATCTGATGTTTCTGTGGCATTATTTTGTGGGTGGGATTAACATTAAAATTTTACATTTCGCAAATCTGTGAAAATTGAACAACAGTCTTTTTTTGAGACAGGGTCTCACTCTGTTGCCCAGGCTGGAATGTAATGGTAGAATCGTAGCTCACTACAGCCTCATCCTCCAGGGCTCAAGGAATCCCTCCCACCTCAGCCTCCCAAAGGGCTGGAATTTAAGTTACCAATTTCCCTCTATGTGCTGATTTATCCGTATCCTATGAATTTTTATGCAGTGGTCTCATCATTGTTCAGTTTAAAATGTCACCTAATTTTTGAGTTCTCCAACTGTTGACTTATTTAGCAGTTTTTTTCTTTTCTCTTTTTCTTTCTTTCTTTTTTTCCCTCTCTCTCTCTCTCTCCTTCCTTTCCCTTCTTTCTCTCCTTCCTTCCCTCCTTCTTTCTTTCTGTTTTAGAGACAGGGTCTTGCTCTGTCAGCCAAGCTGGAGTGCAGTGGTGCAATCAGAGTTGACTGCAGCCCCCAACTCTCAGGCTCAAGCGATTTTCCCACTTCAGCCTCCCAAGTAGCTGGAACTAGAGGCACATGCCCCCACACCTGGCTAAATTGCATAAACGTTTTGTTGAGAGAGAGATTCTTGCTATGTTGCTCAGGCTAGTCTCAAGCTCCTGAACTCAAGTGATCCTCCCGACTTGGCCTCCTGAAGTGCTGGGATTACAGGCGTGAGCCACCATATCCGCCTAGCAGCATATTTCTTAATTTCCAAATATGTGAGGATGTTCTAGTTATATATTTGGCTTTGGGGATATTTTGTGGGGTTTTATTTATTTATTTTTTTGAGACAGTCTCACTGTCACCCAGGCTGGTGTATAGTAGTGTGATCATGGCTCACTGCAGTCTCCAACTCCTAGGCTCAAGTGATCCTCCTGCCTCAGCCTCCCGAGTAGCTAGGACTATAGGCACATGCCACCACACCCAGCTACTTTCTTTTTTATTTTTATTTTATTTTATTTATTTATTTTTTTGAGACGGAGTCTCGCTCTGTCCCGGGGCTGGAGTGCAGTGGCGCAATCTCGGCTCACTGCAAGCTCCGCCTCCTGGGTTCATGCCATTCTCCTGCCTCAGCCTCCCAAGTAGCTGGGACTACAGGCGCCCACCACCGTGCCCGGCTAATTTTGTGAAGTTTTTTTTTTTAGTAGAGACAGGGTTTCACCGTGTTAGCCAGGATGGTCTCGATCTCCTGACCTCGTGATCCGCCCGCCTCAGCCTCCCAAAGTGCTGGGATTACAGGCGTGAGCCACTGCGCCCGGCCTCTTTTTTATTTTTATAAAGACAGGGTCTCACTATGTTGCCCAGGCTGGACTCAAACTTCTGGCTTCAAATGATCCTCTTGCTTTGGCCTCCTAAAGCTCTGGGATTGCAGGGATGAGTCACTGTGTGCCCGGCCATATCTTTGTTATTGATTTCTAGTTTAACTGTATGTGTTTAGGGTGCATACTCTGAATAATTTCAATTCTTTGAAATTTGCCTTATGGAGATTTGTTTAAAACTCAATATATAGTTCCTTTTTGTCAATGATTCTTGCCTGTTTTTGTCTTTGAAGAGAACATGTGCTCTGCAGCCCTTGAATGCCGTGCTCTATATACAAGTCCATTAGGTACACATTATTGTCTTTCAACTGTCTATTTATTTTTGCTTTTTAGGGTTTGTTTCGTCTGCTGAGAAGAAATCATCTCCCTCAGGGACTGTGAATTTATTTGTCCCTGTAGCTCAGCAGTTTTTGGTTTCATATTTTTTTGAGACTATATTATTAAATGTATACAAATTTAAAACTGCTGGTCCAGCTGGTGGCTTACACCTATCATCCTATCACTTTGGGAGGCCAAGGCAGAAGGATCGCTTGAGCCCAGGAGTTTGAAACCAGCCTGGGGAACATGGTAAAACGCCATCTCTACAAAAAAATTAAAAACTAGCTGGGCATGGTGGCTTGCACCTGTAGTCCCAGCTACTTGGGAGGCTGAGGTGTGAGGATCATCTGAGCCCAGGAGGTCTAGGCTGCAATGAACTGTGATCACACCACTGCACTCCAGCCTGGGCAACAGAGTGAGTTTCAAAAGAAAACCAAAAAACACCATTACCTCCCTGATGGGTTTTTTTTTTTTTTACTCTTGTTGCCCAGCCTGGAGTGCAATGGCACAATCTCGGCTCACTGCAACCTCCTCCTCCCAGGTTCAAGCCATTCTCCTGCCTCAGCCTCCAGAGTAGCTGGGATTACAGGTGCACACCACCATGCCTGGCTAATTATTGTATTTTTAGTAGAGACAGGGTTTCACCATGTTGGCCAGGCTGTTCTTGAACTCCTGACCTCAGGTGATTCACTCACCTCGGCCTCCCAAAGTGCTGGGATTACAGACATGAGCCACCACGTCCAGCCAAAATAGAACTTTTATTACCATAAAATAGCCCTATTTATTCCAGATGATACCTTTTACCTTAAAGTTGCTTTTGTCTGATATCTATAGAACCACACCAGTTTTCTTTTGAGTAGGAATTTCATGGTATCTTTTTCCATCTGTTTACTTTCACAGCCATTCTCTATCCTACCCCACCATTCCTATACACAGGAGCTCTTCTCCAAAAGACTTACAAGACTTATTGTGCAAGAGTCGTGTCTGTTCTCCTTGCATTTCCAACAGTTCAGTCGCATCTCTATGATGGGATTTCTAGGCCTTTTCTGTGCAGTATCTGGGGCTGGGATAGCATTGCTGGGTGCCCCTCCCCGCATGCTTGCACAGACCGTCTGTTACAGACCATGTCAGAGAGCCATGCTGTGGGTCCCAGAAGCCCAATTCAAATGGCCTCAAACAAGGAGGGAGTTACTGTTTGGCATACCTGGGAATCTTGACGTGGGGCACCTAGGGTCACCCGATCCCAGAGCCCTGCTTCCATTTCTGTGGGTTTCTCCCTGCCCTTTCCCCCCATGTGGATTTACTCATGGGAAGCCTTATCAGACCGAAATCCGAGGGGACACAGAGAGGACTTCTCCATGTTCCCGGCAGAGGGGCCCATCCCTGATGACCAGGACCAGGGCCCGGGTCTGACTGCCTTCCTTGGGGCACAGGGAGGGAGTGGTGAAGGCCTCAGGCCTAGGACAGGCAGCTGACCACCACCCTCCCCTCCCCACCATCCAGGCCATGGACAATCTGAGAACCAACTAGCAATCCAGCAACGAGACACATTCGGCAGAACCCTGGAAGGTGCAGCGGGAACCAGGCCCACGGCCTCTGATGTCAGGGCTCACAGAAACCCAGGGGTCTCCCCACCGTGCATGCAGTGTGACAAAGACTCTCTCCTTGAATAAACTTGAGTTAGGCCCCTCTAAGCCTTCTCATCTGGCTTTGACCTTGAGCTTCAGTGCCCACCTTAATTGCGTCTGCACTGCCCAGTTTTAGCAAGATTCCTGCTAAGTGGGTTTAGCCATAGTCACCTACCCTCAACATCTGATCACCTTCCCTATCTGATCAAATTTCCAATCTCCCAGGTGATGTCTGATCACCCTGGCCTGCCTTCCGAGGAATTCTGGGAGGTCGGTTTAGCCAGAACCCCCCCTTAGCCCTGAGATGCTTCCTCTCAGCCGTTTTCCACTCACTCCCCCAACCCTACTCCAGGGCTATAAATCCCCACTTGCCCATGCTGTATTTGCATGGAACCCGTCTCATACCGAGGCCTTTTCCTCACTGCAGTAGTTCCTGATAAAATCTGTTTTGACTGTTTTGCTACTGTCCAGTTGTGGTTTTCTTTTTTATTTTTTTTTTTTTTTGAGACAGAGTCCTGCTCTGTCGCCCAGGCTGGAGTGCAGTGGCACAATCTCAGATCACTGCAACCTCCGCCTCCCAGGTTTAGGCAATTCTCCCGCCTCAGTTTCCCAAGTAGTTGGGATCACAGGTACCCATGGCCACACCTGGCTATTTTTTTTTGTATTTTTAGTAGAGATGAAGTTTTGCCATGTTGGCCAGGCTGGTCTTGAACTCCTGGCCTCAGGTGATCCACCTGCCTTGGCTTCCCAAAGTGCTGGGATTACAGGCGTGAGCCACCGCGCCCAGCCCCAGCTCTGGTTTTCTGTAACAAGGTGGGAAAGTGCTCAGTGGGAGGGTTCAGCCCACAGCAGAGAAGTCTATTCAGAATCTCTTCCTTCTTGCGGGTCGCACCTGAGCTGCCCTCCTCCTGAGAGCAGAGACAGCTTCCAGGCAGGGGCCCTACTGTGTGCCCAGCAGGTGCCTAGGGCCACCATTTAAGAGGGTGCTGAGTCTCAGGTGCTGACCCTGTACTCACACAGGTGCCTGCTCCCCTCACTCTGGTCCTGGGCAGGCCCAGCACCTCTGCATCTGCCTTATGGCCTCCAAGCGAGCAGGCTGTAATGAGTGATGGCTGTCGCTTCCGTTCTGCCACCCGGGTATCTCACAAATTTTTTTAGCCAATTCTGACCCCAAATCATATGGAGAAGGGGACTGTGGGAAACTTAGTCCTGGTTTAGCCAGGTAGACACAGGGCGAAACCACTCCAGCCCACCTTTGTCACTGTGGCATTTCTGCAAACTTCCTCTAACCAGGTTAACCTCCAAATAAAGCCAATAGCAACACCATGCTTCTGCCGAACATGATGCAACTACACTTATATAACCCAAACAGGTTAACCCTCCCACAGAAGGACTCAGGTCTACAGATCACTCCATCTATCTTCAGGTGACGTTTATTATTCTCCCAGCTGATTCACACACACACACACACACATATACATACACACACACATACATACACACTGCACCACACCAGACACACAACTTTGATATTCTGTAACTTAGATATCAAAATAGGTTACTAGCCAGGCAAGGTAGCTCAGGCCTATAATCCCAGCACTTTGGGAGGCTGAGGTGGGCAGATCTCTTGAGCCCAGGAGTTCAAGACTAGCCTAATACAAAAATTAGGCCAGGCGCGGTGGCTCACGCCTGTAATCCCGGTACTTTGGGAGGCCGAGGCATGTGGATCACAAGGTCAAGAGATCGAGACCATCCTGGCAAACATGGTAAAACCCCATCTCTACTAAAAATATAAAAATTAGCTGGGCATGGTGGCACATGCCTGTAGTCTCAGCTACCCGGGAGGGTGAGGCAGAAGAACTGCTTGAACCCAGGAGGCGGAGGTTGCAGTGAGCTGAGATTGCACCACTGCACTCCAGCTTGGCGACAGAGCAAGACTCCATCTCAAAAACAAAAACAAAAACAAACAAACAAAAAAAACAAAAAAAAAAATTAGCCAGGCGTGGTGGTGCATGCCTATAATCCCAGCTACTCTGGAGGCTGAGGCAGGAGAATTGCTTGAACCCAGTAGGCGGAGGTTGCAGTGAGCCGAGATGTCGCCACTGCACTCAGCCTGGGCAACAGAGCAAGACTCTGTCTCCAAAAAAAAAAAAAAAAAAAAAAGAGCAAACAAAGGTGAAGGCATCCTAAGGGACTATGGGACACCATCAAGAGGACCAAGATACACATTATGCAATTCAGCAAAGGAGAAGAGAAAGAGAAAGGGACAGAGATTATTTGCAAAAATGGCCAAAAACTATCCCAAATTGGAGAAAGACATGAAACTACAAATCAAAGCAGCTCAATGAACTCCAATAGAATCAACCAAAACAAGATCCACACCAAGACACATTATAATCAAACTGACAAGTGACAAAAAATCTTGAAAGCAGCAGCCAAAATAAAACAAAACAAAGTTGGCTGGGTGTGGTGGCTCATGCCTGTAATCCCAGCACTTCGGGAGGCCAAGGGAGGTGGCTCACCTGAGATCAGGAGTTCAAGATCAGCCTAATCAACATGGCAAAACCCCATCTCTACTAAAAATACAAAAAATTAGCCAGATCAAGTTGTGGCAAGTGCCTGTAATCCCAGCTACTCGGGAGGCTGAGGCAGGAGAACTGCTTGAACCCGGGAGATAGAGATAGCAGTGAGCTGAGATTGCACCACTGCACTCCAGAGTGGACAACAGAGTGAAACTCCGTCTAAAACAAACAAAAAAAAAAGGGTTTTGGTCATGTACAAGGATTCCTCAATGAGATTGTTAAATGATTTCTCAGCAGAAACTACGGAGTCCAGAAGGGAGTGGGGTGATAGATTTAGCATGCTGGGGGAAGAAAAACAAACCTGTCAACTGCGAATTCTACACATGTGAAAAAGGGTCCTTTGGTTCCTATTAAAAACAAACTAAGATCCCAGAAATAACAAGTGCTGGAGAGGATATGGAGAAACCGGAACCCTTGTGCACTGTTGCTGGCAATTTAAAATGGTGCAGCTACTATGAACAGTGTGGCAATTCCTCAAAAAATTAAAAACAGAATTATTATATGATGTAGCAGTTCCATATCTTTGTATATAGCTGGCCCTCTGTATCCAAGGGTTTTGTTGTTGTTGTTCTTGTTTTTTGCCCAGGCTGGAGTGCAGTTGCAGGATCTCAATCTTGGCTCACTGCAACCTCTGCCTCCTGGGTTCTAGAAATTCTTGTGCCTCAGCCGCCCGTGTAGCTGGGATTACAGAAGTGCACCACCATGCCAGGATAATTTGTATTTCTAGTAGAGATGGGGTTTCACCATGTTGGACAGGCTGTCCTGACCTCAGGTGATCCGCCCACCTCAGCCTCCCAAAGTGCTGGGATTACAGGCGTGAGCCACTGTGCCCGGCCTGTATCCATGGGGTCCACAGGTTGATTCTACCAACTGCACATGGAAATTGTAGTTATCCCTATGATGTCTGTGTCTGTTCTGAACATGTGCACACTTTCTTTTCTATCACTATTCCCTAAACAATACAGTATAACAACTATTTACACAGCATTTACATTGTACTGGGCATTATAAGGAATCTAGAGATGATTTAAAGTATACAAGAGGATGTGCACAGATTATATGCAAATACCACCTCATTTTAAATTAAGGACTTGAGTGTCTGTGGATTATGGTATCCTCAGTGTGTCCTAGAACCAATCCCCTGTAGATACTGAGGGAAGACTGTATACACAAAATAATTGAAAGCAGGGTCTTGAAAAGATATTTATACACCATGTTCACAGCGGTATTATTCACGGTAGGAAAAACATGGAAACAGACCGGGCGCAGTGACTCACACCAGTCATCCCAGCGCTCTGGGAGGCCGAGGCAGGTGGATCACTTGAGGTCAGGAATTCGAGACCAGCCTGGCCAACATGGTGAAACTCTGTCTCTATCAAAACAACAACAACAACAACAACAAAAATTAGCCCAGCGTGGTGGTGCATGCCTGTAATCCCAGCTACTCGGGAAGCTGAGGCAGGAGAATCGCTTGAACCCAGGAGGTGGAGGTTGCAGTGAGCGGAGATCGCACCACTGCACTCCAGTCTGGCAAACCCCCCCACCCCACACACACAATAAGCAAACAATCTGTGTTCATCAATGGATAAATGGATAAGCCAAATATGGCATATACATACCATGGAATATTATTCAGCCTTAAAAAGCAAAAAAAAGTTCAGACACTGCAATATGGATGACCCTTAGGGATATTACGCTAGATGTAATAAGCCAGTTACACACAAAAAATACCGTATGATTCCACTTATACAAGGTACTTAGCATAGTCAAAATCACAGAGACAGAAAGCAAAATGGTGGTCTCCAGGGGAGGGGTGGAGAGCGGATTGGAAGTTATTGTTGAATAGGTATATATTTTTTGTTTTATGAGATGAAAAGAGTTATGGAGATAGATGCTAGTGATGGTTTACAACATTTTAAATATCTTTAATATCACTGGACTGTACACTTAAAAACGTCTGAGGCTGGGTGAGGTGGCTCACGCCTGTGATCCCAGCACTTTGGGAGGCCAAGGTGGGAGGATCACTTGAACCCAGAAGTTCCAGACCAGCCTGGGAGACATGGTCAAACTTCATCTCTACAAAAATAAACAAATCAGCTGGTTATGGTGGCATGTGCCTGCAGTCTCAGCTACGCAGGAGGCTGAGGCAGGAGAATCCTTTGAACCCGGGAGGCAGAGGTTGCGGTGAGCCAAGATCGTGCCACTGCACTGCAGCCTGGGTGACAGACCGAGGCTCCGTCTCAACAACAACAAAAAGGTTTGGCTCCTATCCTGCCTTCTCTGGAAAGTCATCCTCATCATCTTACAAAGTGCTGTAACCTTGCAATACATTGCAGGAGACTGTTAGTTATTTGTTATAAGCTATACATGGCCTTGTGATGTTTTTGTGATTCTCGCCTTACCCTGTTATGTAAATCCAGGAGTCACCCTTGACTCCAGTTCCATCCAATCCATTTACTTCAGTTTTATGCCCTTGCAGGATTTCCTGGGAAAAGAATTAGAGGATTTGGTTTTGAAATAATCTTAATTTTTTAATTTTTTGATAGGACACAGATACAAAAAAAAAACAAAAAAAAAACCCCACAAAATATGAGTACTGGCCAGGCCATGGTGGCTCACACCTATAATCCTAACACTTTGGGAGGCTGAAGTGGGCAGATTACCTGAGGTCAGGAGTTCGAGACCAGCCTGGTCAACATAGCAAAACTCTGTCTCTACTAATAATACAAAAATTAGCTGGGCTTGGTTGCAGGCCCCTGTAATCCCAGCTACTCAGGAGGCTGAGGCAGGAGAATCACTTGAACCCGGGAGGTGGAGGTTGCAGTGAGCCGAGATAGGGTCACTGCACTCCAGCCTGGGCAACAGAGCAAGACTCCATCTCAAAAAACCAAAAAGCGAAACAAACAAAAAAACCCATGAACTATAAGGAGATTATTGTTATTATTACTATTATCATTGTTATTATTATTATTTTTTAGAGAAAGGGTCTCACTCTGCCACCTCCAGCTGTAGTGCAGTGGCACAATCATAGCTCATCTGCAGCCTTGAACCCCTGGACTCCTGTGTCAGTGTTAGGATTACAGGCATGAGCCCCTGCACCCGGCCTAAGGGGGGAATTATAAATAAAACGTGTTGATTATAATTCATAGCGTTATGAATTGTAAGGAGAGCTTATCATTGTAACCACCACTCAAGGTCAAGAAGTAGACTGGCTGTGGTGGCCTATACCTAGAATCCCAGCACTTTGGGAGGCTGAGGTGGGAGGATTTCTTGAGGCCAGGAGTTCAAGACCAGCCTGAGCAACACAGCAGGACACCGCCTCTACAAAAAAAAATGCCAACAATTAGCTGGGTATGGTGGCATGCAGCTGTAGTTCCAGCTACTTGGGAGGCTGAGGTGGGAGGATCGCTTGAGCCCAAGAATTTGAGGCTGCAGTGAGCTATGATGGCGCCACTGCATTCCAGCCTGGGCGACAGAACATGACTGTATCTCCAAAAAAGAAAAAGAAAAGAACTCTTTTCCAGCCACTACAGAAACTTCCCTTTTGTCCTGTCTCAAATACAATGACCTTCCTCCTGCTTCAAGTACCCACAATTCTGACTTCACAGAAACCACTTCTTTGGCTTCTTCACAGTTTTATTCCTATCCCTTACCATGATAGTTTTCTCTTGCACTTCTGTTGACTCTAACATGTCTTTTAAGACTCTTTGGCTGGGCACAGTGGCTTACGCCTATAATCCCAGAACTTTGGGAGGCTGAGGCAGGCAGATCACTCCTGACTTGAGGTCAGGAGTTCGAGACCAGCCTGGCCAACATGGTGAAACCCCGTCTCTACAAAAATACAAAAATTAGCCTGGCAGGTGCCTGTAATCCCAGCTACTCAGGAAGCTGAGACGGGACAATTGCTTGAACCTGGGAGGTGGAGGGTGCAGTGAGCCGAGACTGGGCCATTGCCCTGCAGCCTAGGAGACAAAAGAAGACTCCATCTCAAAACAAACAAACAAACAAACAAAATACTCTTTATCTAGAGGATCACCCTCAATTCCTTTCTTTTTTCTTTATTTTATTTTAGTATTTTTTGTAGAGACAGAATCTTGCTATGCTGCCCACACTGGTCTTGAACCCCTGGCCTCAAGCAATCCTTCTGCTTCAGCCTCATCCCTTTTTATTCTTACAGTTTCATGTTGAAGAGCCCAAAAGTTTGACCTGTAGAATTCTGCAGTCCTGGATTTTGCTGATGGTTTACTTTCAGTGCAGTTCAACTTGTTCTCTGTCTTCTGTTTTTCCAGCAAGTGAGCAGCTGGATCTGTAAGCTCGGTCAGATCCACATCTGATCCCTTTGGCTACACTATAGGTGGTACTGTGATCTTTCCTCAGGAGGGACGTAACGTGTCTTTGCAACTTATGCTGCAAGATAAAGTTCGTATAGGGCAGGCAAGATCAATGTTTAGATTCTTTCCCATTTTTTTTTTTTGCCTATTTTCAAGGTAATGAATTGGCTTCTCTTTTTTTGAGACAGGGTCTTACTCTTGTTGCCCAGGGTGGAGTGCAGTGTTGTAATCACAGCTCACTGCAGCCTCGACTTCCCTGACCCAGCTGATCCTCCCACTTCAGCCTCCCGAGTAGCTGGGACAACAGGCATGCACCACCATGCTGGCTAATTTTTTGCATTTTTAGTAGAGACAGCATTTCGCCATGTTGCCCAGGCTGGTCTCCAACTCCTGGACTCTAGCAATCTGCCCGCCTTGGCCTCCCAAAGTACTAGGATTACAGGCGTGAGCCACCGTGCCTGGCCATAAATTGGCTTCTAATCATCCTCCAAAGGTGATTGGTTAGTTTTGTTTGTTCATTTGAAGTCTCATTATTAAACATGACTAATGGATTCAATCCATGCAAGTATTATTCCTAGTGCAGCTCAAATTGTCCTCGGGCTACTGGGGGCCTCTTCAAAGGCAGCTCTTGAGTCCTTTTGACATAGCCACAGATGTCTTCGAGAGCTTCTTTGTGACCTGGTATGGCAAGACTGCCAGTCTCATCATGTACTTTTTTTTTTTTTGAGACCGAGTCTCACTTTGTCACCCAGGCTGGAGTGCAGTGGTGTGATCTCGGCTCACTGCAACCTGTCTCCTGGGTTCAAGTGATTCTCCTGCCTCAGTCTTCCTAGTAGCTGGGATTACAGGCCTGCACCAGTATGCCCAGCTAATTTTCGTATTTTTAGTAGAGACAGAAATTCACCATACTGGCCAGGCTGGTCTCAAACTTTTGGCCTCAAAGAATCCACCTGCCTCGGCCTCCCAAAGTGTTGGGATTACAGGTGTGAGCCACCGCCCCTGGCCAACCTCATGCCTTGTTAAGGCTGCATATGAGTCCATTGTGTGGATACTGCATTTTGTTTATCCATTCATCTGCGGACGCACATCTGGCTTGTTTCCAACATTTGGCTATTACAGATAATGCTGCTATGGACACTGGCATGCAGCTTTCTGAGTCCCTGCTTTCCGATCTCCTGAGTATCTATCTGGGGGTGGAATGACTGAATTGCTTAGTAATTGTGTGTTTATTTTTTTTTTTTGACGAACTGCAAAACTGTTTTCCACAGTAGCTGCACCATTTTATATTCCTACCAGCAATGCGCAACGTGGTTCCCATTTCTCCACATCCTTGCCAAGACTTGTTATTTTTCATTTTCTTTTTTTGTTTGTTTTTAATATCAGCCATCCAAATGGGAGTGAAGGGGCATGTCACTGTGGTTTTGATTTGTAGCTCCTAAACGATTCATGATATTCAATATCTTTTCATGTATGTTTCAACCAATATGTATATCTTCTTTGGAGAAATGTCTATTCAAGTCCTTTGCCTAATTTTTTAAATTTTTAATTAAATTTTTTAGTGACTAAGACCCATGACACAGCCCTCAGGAGATCCTGAGAACATGTGCCCCTATCCTTGCCTATATATATATTTTTTGTTTGTTTGTTTGTTTTGTTTTGTTTTGTTTTTTTGAGATGGAGTCTTGCTCAGTCGCCCAGGCTGGAGTGCGGTGGTGCGATCTCGGCTCACTGCAAGCTCCACCTCCCGAGTTCACGCCATTCTCCTGCCTCAGCCTCCTGAGTAGCTGGGACTACAGGCGCCCACCACTACGCCCGGCTAATTTTTTTGTATTTTTAGTAGAGACGGGGTTTCACCGTGTTAGGCAGGATGGTCTTGATCTCCTGACCTTCTGATCCGCCCGTCTCGGCCTCCCAAAGTGCTGGGATTACAGGCGTGGGCCACCGCGCCCGGCCTATATATATATATATATATATATATATATATATATATTTTTTTTTTTTTTTTTTTTTTTTTTGAGATAGAGTTTCGCTCTTACTGCCCAGGTTGGAGGGCAATAGCACGATCTTGGCTCACTGCAACCTCCACCTCATGGGTTCAAGCGATTCTCTTGCCTCAGCCTCCAGAGTAGTTGGGATTACAGGCACCTGCTACCACACCTGGCTGACTTTTTCTATTTTTAGTAGAGATGAGGTTTCACCATGTTGGCCAAGCTGGTCTCGAACTCCTGACCTCAGGTGATCCACCCACCCCAGCCTATTAAAGTGCTGGGATTATAGGCGTGAGCCACTGCGCCGGTGATTTTTGAATTGATGTTTTGTTGTTTTTTAGTCACAGGAATTCTTAATGTATTCTGGATATTAATCCTTACATGTGCATTGCAAATATTTACTTCCAATCTGAGGGTTGTATTTTCACTCTTCTGACAGTGTACTTGGATTAGTTCTCCCTCCCTTTTTTTATTTTTGTGAGACAGGGTCTCACTCTGTCCCCCAGGCTGAAGTGCCTGGGACCTAGGGGAGGAGAGGCAGGTGGGTGGTGTCTTGCCTGCAGTGTAGAGATGACGCCAGTGGCCACCTGGAGCATGGCACTCATGGTGTCTGGCACGTCAAACACAGCTTCCTTGTCCTCCTAGGAGGTACACGGCAGGAGGTGTACAACCATCATCACAACTAGCCTAACTATACAGGGGTGGGAGGAGACAGGAGAGAAGCCAGGCTGGGGGACAGAATTGAGACACAGGGCAGGGGACTGGCTCCCCAAGACTCACCCAGCAAGTCCCGCTCACTGGTGGCATCCATGCTGTTGAGAGTGATGGCCCCAAAGTTGAGTTCTGGGGGGGGTGGGAGGAAGTGGGGCTGAGCTGGAGGGCACGGAGTGGCCTCCTCTCCCCTAACCAGGTTGCCCAGCCCCCTCCCCCTGGAAAGAGGATCAGGGAAGAGGATCAGTGTGGGGTGGGAGCTGGGGACAGGGATCTTTTGCACAGTCCCAGGAGGGAGGCAGGAACCCTGAATCTCTCAGTACCAGGCACCCCTGCCATGGGTGCCCCCTGGCCTACATGACCCCAGGGCCCATAGGCAATGAATAAAGGTTTCACTGGGAGCCACAGGCCCCTGCCCTCTGGTTTCAGGTGTGTTTGCGGGTCCTGGCTGGTGCTAAGGGTGACTCTCCCTGGGGAGGAGGGGCAGGGTGTGTCACCTACTCGGAGCAGCTCTCAGTCCACACCCAGGAGATTGCCCACAATGACCCCACTGCAGGGACAGGGATTCATGGTGACCAGGGTCTGGCAGACAGCCGTGACACACACACACACACACACACACACATGTGTGTATACACACACACACACACACACATACACACACACACACAGAGACAGAGAGAGAAACAAGACCTGGTTGCCAGAGCAACTGCCTGTAGCTCAGCCTGTTTCCTGGCCCAGGCGCCTTGGGTGCAGAACACTTGTCCCCAAGTGTACCCTAACACTTGTCCCCAAGCACCGAGTCGCCCTGGGTGCAGGACACTTGTCTCCTGACATGTCCCCATATGTCAGGCTGAGGGCAGCGGGCTGGGCTCGCCCAGAGCCTTGCTGGAGAGCTCTGGCCCTGCTCAGACACATTCACTGGCTTGGTCGTCCCCATCTTAGCGAGAGCTGGGGCTCCATGCAGCGTCCGCTGTTTAGCAGGTAACGCGGCTTTCTGTCCCACTCTGCCCTTCCCAATGCCTAAAGCTATGCAGCAGCCACCCCCACCAGGCCCTCAGGACACTGCAGCCTAACCCACCTCCCCAGGGACAGGACATCAATCCGCTTCTGCACCTCCAGCAGCTGCTCAGAGTCTCAGGTCAGCGCCACGGCGTGGCTGTGGGAAGCCAGGGGCAGGAGGGTCAGGGCAGGGGGTCCTCCCCTGCAGCAGGGCTCCTGCACCTCACCCGGCTCACCTCATAATCCAGTGTCTCCAGTGGATGGGCTGGGCCCTCTGCAGGTGGATGTGCCCGGGGAAGAGGACGTCACATTCCCTGTGGGAGAGGAGGAGCAGGGGGTCAGGTGGAGGCTCAGGCAAGGCCTGCTTGTGACACTGGGATTCTGCAGGCCTGGCTCACCCCTGGAAAAAGTGTCACCCTGAAGCACTCCACCTGAATGAGGGATCCAGTGACCTCCCAGGAAAAATCGGTCTTAAGGGAAAAAGAGGCTGGATGTGAGGCCATGTGAACCAAGGACTGGGTCTGAGCTGTGGGGCCTCGGGGGTGAGGCTTTGCCAGGAACACCCGAAACCTGAGCCTCTGTCACTCAGCATCTGCGAGCGGGTGCCGGAACAGGGGAGGAGGCCCGTGTTGGGTATGACCTGGCCATGGGAGGTTTCGTCTGAGGACCCCAGAAATAGCTGGGGCTCATTCAAGGGCTGCTCTGAGCAGCTGAGACGCCCTGCTCCTCATTCAAGCAGGGAGGGCAGAGGCAGAGGTGCTGTGAGTGATGGTCCTGTTTTCTTACTGCTTTTTGTTTTTAGAGACAGGGTCTCATTCTGTTGTCCAGGCTGGAGTGCAGTGGCAGGATCATAGCTCACTGCTGCCTCAATCTCCTGGGCTTAAGCGATCCTCCTGCCACTACACTCCAGCCTGGGTGACATAGCAAGACTCTGTCTCAAAAAAAAAAAAAAAAAAAAAAAAGAATTTGGTAGGATTTACCAGTAAAACCATCTGACCTGGTGCTTTTTTTTTTTTTTTTTTTTTTTTTTAAGTTACTAATGATTGATTCAATGTCTAAAATTGAATACAGGTCTATTCAGTTTATCTATTTCTCCTTAGGTGAGTTTTATAGTTTCTGCCTTTGAAGGAATTGATTCATAAGCTTATCAAATTTGTGGGCATAGATTTTTCTCACAGTATTTCTTCATTGTCTTCTCAATGCCCATGGAACCACAAGTGATGGCTTCTCTTTTAGTTATTGGTACATTGTGACTTCTTTTCTTCATAGTTAGCCTGCCTGGAGGTTTACTGATTGTTTTTAAATCTATTCATAGAAATAGCTGTTGGTTTTGAGAATTTTCTCTGTTGATTTTTGATTTTTCATTCCATTGATTTCTGCAATAATTATTACTTTTGCTATTCTTCTGTCTGCTTTCTATTACACTGCTCTATTTTCTCTGGTTTTCTAATGTTAAAGCTTAGGTTATTGACTTTAGGTCTTTCTTATTTTCTATCACATGGCGTTCAGTGTTACAAATTTCCCTCCAAGCCTTGCTTTGACTGCATCCCACAGATCTTGACAAGGGGCATTTTTATTTCATTTTGTTTAAAATATTTTTTTGGCTGGGTGTGGTGGCTCATGCCTATAATCCAGCACTTTGAGAGGCTGAGGCAGGCAGATCACTTAAGGTCAAGAGTTCGAGACCAGCCTTGCCAACATGGTGAAACCCTGTCTCTACTAAAAATACAAAAATCAGCCAGTTGTGGTGGTGTGTACCTGTAGTCCCAGCTAGTCAGGAGGCTGAGGTGGGAGAATCGCTTTGAACCTGGGAGGTAGAGGTTGCAGTGAGCCAAGATCACGCCACTGCATTCCCGCCTGGGTGACAAGAGCGAAACTCCATCTCAAAATATATATATATATATTTTTTACAACTTCATTGAGCCTTCTTCTTTGATCCATGTGTTTTGCAGAGTACATGCTTTAATGTCCAAATATTTGGAAGTTTTCCATTTATTTTTCTATTACTGAATTCTATGAATTCTAGTTTAATTTTTTTTTTTTTTTTTTTTTGAGACAGAGTCTCACTCTGTTGCCCAGGCTGGAGTGCAGTGGCCGGATGTCGGCTCACTGCAAGCTCTGTCTCCCGGGTTTCCGCCATTCTTCTGCCTCAGTCTCCCCAGTAGCTGGGACTACAGGCGCCCGCCACCTCGCCTGGCTAGTTTTTTTGTATTTTTTAGTAGAGATGGGGTTTCACCGTGTTAGCCAGGATGGTCTCGATCTCCTGACCTTGTGATCCGCCCGTCTCGGCCTCCCAAAGTGCTGGGATTACAGGCTTGAACAACCTCGCCCGGCCTAATTCTAGTTTAATTTTGTAACGGTATGAAAGCAAATTTTAGAAATTTTATTCATTTAAATAAGTGGTAGTATTATTTCATGGCCCATTGTTGTTTTTTTGTTTTTTTTTTTTTTTGAGAGGGGTCTCGCTCTGCTGCCAGGCTGGAGTGCAGTGGTGCGATTTCACTGCAACCTCCGACTCCAATACATTCTCCTGCCTCAGCCTCCCAAGTAGCTGGGTTTACAGGCACGTCGCACCAGTGTTGTCTATTTTGATCACTGTTTTATATGACTTTAAGAAGCACATGTAGGCCAGCGCAGTGGCTCACACCTGTAATCCCAAGACTTTGGGAGGCCAAGGTGGGCGAATCATGAGGTCAAGAGATAGAGACCATCCTGGCCAACATGGTGAAACCCCATCTCTACTAAAAATACAAAAAAAAAAAAAAAAAATCAGCTGGGCATGGTGGTGTGTGCCTGTAATCCCAACTACTTGGGAGGTTGAGGCAGGAGAATCACTTGAACCTGGGAGGCAGAGGTTGTAGTGAGGCGAGATCATGCCACTGCACTCCAGCGTGTAGTCATCTGTCATTGAGTGAAGTCTTCTGTAAGTGCCAATTAGGTCTACCTGATTGATTATACTTTTATTAGTTTTCCAGGGTTGCCATAACAAAGCTCCAGCTGAGTTGGCTTGAAACAACAGAAATTTATTGTCTTTCAGTTCTGGAGTCTGAAAGTGTGAAATCAAGGTATAAGCTTCCTTCCTCTGAAACCTGTAGGTGGATACCTTCCCTTTCCTCTTCCTAACTTCTGCTGGCTTCCTGGTGACCTGTGGCTTTCCTGACTTGCAACTGCAGCACTTCGATTTCTGCCCCCATCATTCTCATGGCATCCTTCCCATGTGGACCTGTCTTTTCTTCTTCTTTGCTCCATTGCGCAGGCTGGAGTGCAGAGGTGCGATCTCGGCTCACCACAACCTCCACCTCCCAGGTTCAAGCAATTGTCCTGCCTCAGTCTCCCGAGTAGCTGAGACTACGGATGCGTGCCACTATGCCTGGGTAATTTTTGTATTTTTAAAGGAGACGAGGTTTCGCTATGTTGGCCAGGCTGGTCCTGTCTTTTCTTCTTATAAGAAGACCTGTATGTTGGATAAAGGGTCCACCCAACTTCAATGTGAATGCACCTTAACTGATTACATCTATGGTGACTCTGGGTGCTAGGACTTCTCACATATATTTTGGAGGGGGGACTCAATATCACCCATAACAGTGCTTCATTTCAACTGTATCCTTACTTCTTTTCTTTCTGAAGGATCTGTCAATTACTAAAGGGTTTTATAAATCTTCAACAATAAGAGTGGATTAATCTATTTCTCCTTGCATTTCTATTCACTTTTTTTGCCTCAAGTAATTTGATGCTTCTTGTTAGGTGTGTACACATAAAAAATTCTTATGGCTTCTAGGAGAGTCAGTACCAGTATCATTAAATAATGCCTTCTTTATTCCTAATAGTTTTCTTTTTTCTGAGGCTGCTTTGTCTAAGATTAATTTAGCTGTTTCTGCTTTTTAAAATATATATGTTAGCCTGGTCTGTCTTTTTTTTTTTTTTTTTTTGGTGACATGGAGTTTCACTACTGTTGCCCAGGCTGTAGTGCAATGGCGCAATCTCGGCTCACCACCACAACCTCTGCCTCCCAGGTTCAAGTGATTCTTCTGCCTCAGCCTCCTGAGTAGCTGGGATTACAAGGCATGTGCCACCGTAGCCAGCTAATTTTGTATTTTTAGTAGAGATGGGGTTTCTCCATGTTGGTCAGGCTGGTCTCGAACTCCCAACCTCAGGTGATACGCCCACCTCGGCCTCCCAAAGTGCTGGGACTACAGGCATGAGCCACCGCACCTGGTGGTCTGTCTTTTTAAATGTCTCTTCTTTTGCTCTGAGTCTTTATATTTGAAGTGGGTTTCTGGTAAAGAACACATATTTGCGTATCATTTTCATCTACTCTTCTAGTCTATGTTTTTTAATTAGTGTATATAGACCATGCACATTTAAAGAGATTATTGATATCTTTAAATTATTAGCTATATTTTTATAACTGTTAACATATAACATATTGTAACACGTGATGAACATTTTTGCCAAGTATTGTGCATCAATGGACACTGTCAAGAAAGCAGAAAGACAACCTACATAATGGAACAGAACCTTTGCTAATTATATATTTGACAAGGGAATTCATATCTGCAGTATGTAAAGCACCCCATAACTCAACAATAAAAACAAACAATCCAGTTAAAAAATGGGTGAAGGGCTGGCCAGGCGTAGTGGCTCATGCCTGTAATCCCTGCACTTTGGGAGGCTGAAGCAGGTGGATCCCAAGGTCAGGAGATCAAGACCATCTTGGCCAACATGGTGAATCCCCGTCTCTACTAAAATACAAAAAACAAATTAGCCGGACACGGTGGCATGTGCCTGTAAGTCCCAGCTACTCGGGAGGCTGAGGCAGGGGAATCGCTTGAACCTAGAAGGCGGAGGTTGCAGTGAGCCAAGATCGTGCCACTGCACTCCAGACTGGTGACAGAGCGAGACTCCGTCAAAAAAAAAAAAAAAAAAAAAAAAAAGGCAAAGGACTTGAATACATATTTCTCCAAATACATACACAAATGACCCAGTAAGTACAAAAAAGGATACTCAACATCATTAGGCATGAGGAAGTATGTATCAAAACAACAGTGAGACACAGCTTCACACTCTCTGGGAAGGTTGTAGTGAAGAAAAAGGAAAAGTAAAATGACAACTGTTCACAAGGATGTCAAGAAATTGAAAACTTTATGTATTGCTGGAGGAAATGAAAACTGATTTAGCTATTGTGTGAGAGTTTGGTAGAGCCTCAAAACTCTAAGCATAAAACTACCATATGACCCAGTAATTCCACTGTAAGGTGTGTGTGTGTGTGTGTGTGTGTGTGTGTGTGTGTGTATGTATGTGTGTGTGTGTGTATATATATATAGAGAGAGAGAGAGAGCGAGACAGAGAGAGGGGGGCAGGAACTCAAACAGATATCTGTATATCAAAGTCCATAGCAGAATTATTCACAGTAGCTAACAGGTGGAAATAACAACAAAATCTTGATTGACACCTGGTATCAATCACCAAATAAATGGACAAGTCAAATAATGCATATTTATGCAACAGAATACTATTCAGCCATAAAATGAATTCAATGTTGATATATGCTGTTACATGGATGGACCTTGTAAAATAAGCTTAGTGAAATAAGGCAAGGAGAGGACAAATATTGCATGTTTTCACTTACATGAGATGTCTAGAATAGGCAAATTCAAAAAGACAGAAACTAGAGACGACTGGGGGAGGAAGGAGAGAAGAGAAGGAGTTTTTTGTTCTGTTTTGTGATTTTTTTTTTTTTTTTGAGACGAGTCTCACTCTGTCACGCAGGCTGGAGTGCAGTGGCGTGATCTCGGCTCACTGCAACCTCTGCCTCCTGGGTTCAAGTGGTTCTCCTG